ATGAGAAAAGAGAAATTTAGTGTGCTACTTTAGTTATTTTTGTTTGTTGATGGGTTAATATAAATTCTTCCTTCACATCATCTGGACCTTTTTCCCTCTTTTCAATATCACTACTTAATATGTGAGTCTCAGGTTCATTTGCTGTAACACAGGCACATTGTAAACTATATGATGAGTAGAATTGGATGCTGTAGCAGCTATGCAAGGCACAGACACAGCATACCACAAATACCATTATGCAATGACAATGGAGGGGATCCATAGAATCTACATTAATATCTGCAGATTTCCCTTTACAATAAAAGATATGAGTTGGAATGAGAATAAATCAGAAAATAGGGAGGTTGTAGTGGTATCTGTTGTCACATATTCTAGTTAATTTTGGAGCAGCACTCAGACCAACTTGGGTCAGTATTAGCCAGAGGAAAATTAAAGTCAGCACTTAAAGGAGTGTCCATCATCATAGCAGGTGGTCAGTAACTATTTGGAGGATTAAGTGGGAAAGGGTTAGAATACTATTGGAATTCTTGGTTCTTTTTATCCCCAGGTGCTTGTTTACAAAAAGTGCTTAAAGTATTGACTTTTTGCACAAGGAAGGTGGCAAGTGTACTGACTCAGGAGCAAGGCCATGATAATAATGCTTGTCCTTAGCTGGTGACACACTCCTGCCCTTGGAGATTCTGTACCAACTGTGTCTTTGTTTACCACTCTATGATGATTAAAATACACCTACATATTTCACATGAGTGGACCAGGATGAATGAATGGATGTTTGCAAGCAACCCAGGGTCCAGGAGGTGAAGTTATGCAAGCATCAGTTGTTATTATATCACCCTCTGCCCTTGGCTAAGGGCCAATGTCAACAAGTTCTCTTTTTCCCACCTGCCTTAGAGTTTTCCATGAAGATTTACATCCTGAAGGTGAAGTGGGCTTTGTTCTCCTTCTACTCTTAAAGATGCTGTGTGGCCTTTGACACATTTTTCCTCTCTGGGTCTTCATTTCCTCCTCTAGTAGAAGGGAGCTGAATTATGGTCTGCAACTAGTGACCTGTAAATTTGTTTTATTATCTTGTGCCAGTGTCTTGTTGTGTTTTGCTTCATTTTTAATGTGCTTTTGAATCCCTCTTGGGAGAAGGTGCCTTCTCAGGTGTGACCAAAGCTCTACCACTCTCTACACCTGTCTTCATTCATTTACATTCTGTTCTTGGGCCAGGATGGCATTAGACACCCTGGTACTGCATGTTCTCTGAGGTTTATTCTTGTCATAGCTGTCTCTTTTCTGCTAACTCCACATATAGTTTCCATTGAAGAACAAGAACAATGTAATATAAGGGATAAAATCAAGACAACAGTTTAGACTGGAGAACCAGATGTCCTTTCTAAACTGTAATAGGTATTAGCAAGTTATGTTTCTTACAGGATTTCCTCAACTTTTTGCTCACCTTATTTTGAAGATGTGTGTGTATTTGTTTATTTTCCAGCAATTTGACCAATTTAACTTGACATTTTCTGTGGAGGATTTATAATGTTCTAAAGCATACATAATTTGAAAAGTCCAAGCACTCTATATTTGTGAGATTTAGTGCAAATATTCTTTGCAAAAAGAAAATTGTTTATTTATTCTCAAAGCACTTTAACTACATAAACTGCTGAAGTTGTAAATACATTTTAAGTGTGTATTTTGAAATAATTTTAGACTTAACATAAAAACTGCAAAAACAGCACAGAATTCCCGTATACCCTTCACTCAGCTTCCCTTAATGTTGACATTTGCCATCGCCATGTTACAGTCATCAAAACTGAGAACTAAACATTTAACCAGTGCATTTTAACATGTTTGTCTTATCTCTGGCTGCTCTATGCGAATTTTTATCTTATTTTAACTACTTTTCTCAAAGAATCACTATTAGAGGAACTTTTAGAAAAATATCTACAGTAAAGGAATTAGAGAAATGGTTTTCCATTTTGTACTTCTAGTTGGTTACGGGGCTGAAAGTTCTCTAAAGTATTGTATTATGTCGCTTTGAAAACAGACAGAACTGTAACTTGTCATCTAAAATGAAAGGTTAATCATTATTCGTCAGAAGAAATAGAGACTTCTTGTCAGTACAGGAAGTTCTAACTTCCTTTTGTGGTAGGGTTCCTTGCAGTTTATTTTAGTGCTTTTTTCAAAATAATAAACCTGACAAGCCAAAGTGGTAATTAACTTTAGTCTGATGTATTTTCACTGTTATTACTTTATTTTTGATTGATTGATTGATTTTTTTTGTTTGTTTTTTTGAGACAGAGTCTCACTCCGTTGCCCAGGCTGGAGTGCAGTGGCATGATCTCAGCTCACTGTAACCTCTGCCTCCCGGGTTCAAGTGATTCTCCTCCCTCAGCCTCCTGAGTAACTGGGACTACAAGCGTGCACCACCACACCTGGCTAATTTTTGTGTTTTTAGTAGAGACGGGGTTTCACCATGTTGGTCAGGCTGGTCTCGAACTTCTGACCTCGGGTGATCTACCTGCCTTGGCCTCCCAAAGTGCTGGGATTACAGGCATGAGCCACCACTCCCTGGCCTGTTATTACTTTGTAAGTTTTGTTTTTAACCATTAGTAATTGTAGTAAATAAAATGGAGTATTTACAAAGATGAAACGTAAGCGATTAGTAGGAAAAAAAAAAGGTATCTGTGGATTCGTGGGCGATTTACCATAATGATTCAAATTACTCTGTTTTATATCTAGTAAAGATGAGGCCACCTGAGGATCTTTTGAGTAGCTAAGGCAACCATGGAATAGAAACGGGTTTCTGAGTAGAGATCTGAAAGCCGTATCACAAATACTCCCTATGTTATTTAGTTAGTAGGTTAATATTGCACAATTTAATTACAGTCAGTTAGGTAATTTTGCCATGGCATGTGTTTCTTTCTCTGTCATATATGTTTACTCAGCAGTTACCAAGACATCACGAGCAAATGAGGTGCATCTCTGGGGACTTCTTTAGCATTAACCCAAATTTCAAACAATAGAGGACAGAAGTTACTTGTAAGCCTTTCTTTTAAAAAATGGATTTAAAAATTCAACAATGAATCATAACTGTGATTATATCTGTACTTGTCTAGGGCTAAGCACCAAACCCATGGGCTGTCCCCTGAGGTTTGGAAAGATCTCTTCTCTCCCATCTGAGATGGTGTTCAGGTCCCATGACTGAGGTGTACAAAAAAAGCAAAGACACTGAAAGTTTCTGTTTTTAAAGTAGCAGGCCTTTGGTTTTTATATATAATCTTTCACTACTGTGACTACTCCCTATATAAAAAAATAAACTAAATTTCCACCATCTCATTAGAATGGAAGAAAAACCCATATAGGTACAAGTGTTTGTGTAGCAAATTCTCTAACACTTATTTTACAGATAAGACCAAAAGTTTTTGTAAAAAGCAAACGTTTTTGGCCTAATCTCACTGGTAAAATAAGTGTTAGAGAATCAGTGGTTTTCTATTTTTATTTTTAGCAATAGAATCCTTTTCTCTAATGAAGCTGTAGGCAGAACCCCAGAGAAATAAGATTGCTTTGGTTTTAAGTGGAGAGTCCACCTTGAGCTTTAACTGCTTGGCCACAGTTCTCCTTTCCCAGCCTCACTCTCGCCCTCTCCCGGTTGTCAAGGAATTGGCAATTCCTGGGTTAGTCTCCTCAGACTGTGTACCTAGGACTGTGGTTTTCAGTTAGAGATTCATATAGGGTTGCTGTGAAAACAGTTTTGTTACTTAAAAAGATAGACTTTCATAATCCAGACCAGTGCTATTAAGGTGATATTCAGACTGGTGTGTTACTGGTCCTTGAGCAGATAGAGACAGAAATTGAGAGTAAGAATTTAGAAATATTTACAGCACTTCAGTATTGCCATGACAGCGTGGGCACATCACCAGTGGAATGGTCTCACTGAACAGGATTTGAACCAAAAGTATCAGTCCATAAAAGATTGGAAATTAAAAAGAATTCTTCATTACAGATAGTTTCAGAAGCACAGCGATGAATATTTTCTTATATAGAACTCTTAAGTTTCCCCCAATGACTGAATAATTCCTGAATGTGCTCAGGATTATTACAACATCACAAATGCTCATCAGTTGATTTTATTTATAAAAGAGCTTTATGAGCGATTTGTTGACCTAAAAGAGTAATGACACAGGTTTCTTTAAAAATAATCCTTTTATCCTTTCATCCATTTATTAGGCATTGCATTCAATAAATATTTTTTGCCGACCATTCGCCATTCTGTGGTGAATAATGGAAGCCCAATTCCTGGCCTTCTGTGGTAATTAGGCAATTGTAACATCAAAACCTCCCAGAGCAAACTATATATTTGATATTGGAATTTCCTGATTATTGCATCATAATAATAATCATATGTGGGGAGTATAGGCTGCTCTGGGGGCATCGAGAAGGAGCACCAGACTTGGGATGTCAGAGGAGGTTGTAAACCTTAAAATAAGTAACTGTTAAAAGCAAATAACCCACAAAATAAATCACTCCTTACAGATTGTGATACCTATTTTTTGAGGGCTTATACCATGCTTACACTGTGTCATGCACTATGTGCTCTTCTATGTGTCAGGGACATATTTGTGGATGAAACAGACACAGTCCCTGCCATAGGAGGCTTATAAGCTAGTTCAAGGAAATCAATAAATGGACAAGAGGATTTCCAATGTTGATGAACTCCAGAAGGAAAGAAAACAGAGTGCTGTGGTAAGTATGAGTATGTGGGGGTGAATATGTCGCAGAGATTCATCAGAGGAGCCCCCCCTTAGGAGAGTGCATCTGACCTGAAACCCAAAGGATATGGAGAAGCCAGCGTGAGATTATGGGAAAAGAACAGCAAGCAGGCAGAAAGTGCCAAGGCTTTAAGGCAAGAATATAGTTGGCATGTTCATGGGTACAAGTGGTCTTAGTCTGTTTTGTGCTGCTATGATAGAATACTACAGACTGGGGTATTTATTTATTCGTTTCTTTTTAAGAGACAGGATCTTGTGCTGTTGCTCAGGCTGGAATGCAGTAACACCATGAGGGCCCACTGCAGTCTCAACATCCTGGGCTCAAGCAATCCTCCTGCCTCAGCTTCTTGAAGCTTGCACTACAGGTACACACCACTACACTTGGCTTATTTTTACGTTTTTTGTAGAGATGGAGTCTTGGTATGTTGTCCAGGGTGGTTTCAAACTCTTGACCTTCAAGCAATCCTCCTGCTTCAGCCTCCCAAGGTGTTAGGAATACAGGTGTGAGCCATCATGCCTGGCAGACTAGGTAATTTATAAAGAACAGTTCTGGAGGCTGGGAAGTCCAAGATCAAGGTGCTAGTAGGCTTGGTGTCTGGTAAGTGTCCAGTCCCTCCTTCCAATATGGCACCTTGAACACTGCTTTCTCTGGAAGGGAGTCATACTTTTTCTTACATGGCAGAAGAGCAAAGAGAGAACTCATTCCTGAAAGCCCTTTGTAAAATGCACTAAACTCACTCATGAGGACAGAGTCATGACTCAATTATCTCTCAAAGGTCCTACCTCTAAATTAATACTGTTTTAGTGGCAATTAAATTTCAACATGAATTTTGGAGAGGATAGACATTCAAACCATAGCAGTTGGCATGTTTTGGGGTTCATGTTTCTCTCTAGAAAGCCAACATGGCTGAACTGGAGGAAGCAAGAGGGAGAGGGGAGGAGGCAAGCTGAGCGCAGTGAAAGTCATGGTTGGAAGCCAAGTCCAATAGCAGGCCACAGGAAGGTTGTAAGCCACAGAGTGGTGTGGTCTGATTTACATTTTAAAGCGTTCCCTGGGGATGTAGAGGAGCAAGGGTGGAAGCAGAGAGACTGTTGAGGGGGTCGTGGCAGTCATCCAGGCAGAGAAGATGGTGGCTTGGAGTAGGGTGATAGCAGTAGGAGTGGAAAGAAGGGAAAGCTAACTAGTTTTGCTGGTGGCTTGAATATGGGAGGTAGAGGAAAGAGAGGAGCCAAGAATGTCCCCTGAACTTTTGTCTAGAGCGCCAGTGTGGTACCAGGTACCAAGATGGGGAGCACTAGGGGCATTTGGTACTGGGAGTGGGGGTCAAGTTTATGGTATGTGAAATTTGGGATGCTCATTAGGCATCCATATGGTGACTTTGTGAATTTAGGAGGTCAGAATGGGGCTGAACATATAAATTTATAATTGCTGATGGTATGTAAAACCATGGGACTGCAAGAGATCCTTGGGAGAGGGGGCAGATAGAGAAGGGAAGAGGACCAAGGACTGAGCTGCTAGGACACGAGATCATACCAACATCTGGCGAGGTCAAGCAAAGAAAGAGGGAAATTCAACTCAGTAGTTGGAAACTAATGCAGTAGGCGCTGCTTAGTTTGTATCCATAGCAAAGATACTTTACCTTCATTATCCACAGCTCTTCCACATGCAGTCGGTGATTGTAGTGGATATATGTGGGCACTCTGCCCGGAGCCTCCCCCATTCCTTGGGACTGTGTATCCTGGTATTGGCGTCAGTGTTCTGCTTTAACAGCTAGATTCTCTATGTCTTTTTTAGAGGACTGCCTCTAAGTGACTTGGAGTCACTACCACAAGAGAGGAGTGCCTGGGGAGTTATGACTGAAGGCTACAGGAATATGAGAGCCAGGCTTTCACTTCTCTCAGTTTAGACAACTCTGAGTACTAATCTACACTGCAGCATTCCTCCATGGACTTAGACTGAAGCTACCCTCCGGAGAGCTTTTGCGTTAGCACCCTTGCCTGACCTCTATTGGGAATGCTTTCTTAATACATTGTCTGCCTTTGGGCAACTTGACTTAACATATGAACTGCCCTTCCTTCCCCCATCTCCCATTTTGTTTTATAGTGTAGACATTAGTATAATGTAATCATTTTTGTTAATTTAAAATGGGATTAGGTTAAATATTTTAAAGCATTCTCAACTTCTCAAAGCTTTTTTTTCAGAATATCTCCATTTGAGCAGCCGTTAAATGGAAAGGATTTTGTTTTTTATCCTAAAGGCAATTGTCTGTTTTTGCTGATACTGGTGAATTTGTTTACTGTTTAATTAAGTGAAAGATTTCCAAAGAGTCATCTATATTCAGCCTTCCAGCTCGTAGAGTACATGCTGATCTCAAACAGATATAACGATTAGATCATTATTTCCTGTTCACACACTTGGTCAATACAATTACGGAAATTAAGCAAGAGATTAAGACAGGGTGTTGAGCGAGTTTGATAGTGGTAAATGCGATCCCATTCTAGCAGAAGCAGCCTGTGAGCTTTTCTATAGGCTCTCCCGTGCTTGTCATTGTGGCTTCGATTTTTGCTTCTAAAACAGTCTGTAGCTATAGTTTGAGCAGGAATTTGAAGCCAACAGCAGGACAATGTGGCTATGTAGAGTTTTTCTTCTGTCTTTGAGAGAAGAGTAAAGTTAGATTCTATTTATTTTGAATGGATTTCCATTTATTTTAGAACTTACTGGACATTTTTATATTTACATATTAAAAACACTTGGGTCTTTTGCTTTTAAACACTAAGATCCTCCATTCTTTTTACCTCCCCTTCTCTCTCTTCTCCCTTCTCTTCCTTTCTTTTAGAGTAAACATAGATGCTAAATCTCTACCTGAACACCTCACAAACATGTTTCAAAGTTTGTGAGTGGGTTTTTGTTTGTTTTTTTGCTTGTGTTGGAAACGCATACCTGTAATAGCTTCCTTAACCTTTTAGCAGTTTTCAGTCTGAGAGTGGGCATAGAAAAGGGTCAATAAATATTTGTTCAATGAAAGAGGTGGTGTTATATCCTAGGTGCAATCCTAAAGTGTTAATATTGGACCTTTTATTGTTGTGCTCCTGTGCTGAGAGACTTGGTCTCTGGCTCTTAATTGTAGCCCAATTATTTGTCAAAAATATGACAAATATAATGGGAAAATCATTTTTAAATCCTTAAATTGTCTTTGAGCATTTCACAAAATTAAATTTCACTAGATTCAGTGGAAGTGACATGCCCATTGGTACATTCCTTTTGCCTCTAAATACTTCTGAAACACTTGGATTTTGACCATAGATTTCACAATACATTGAAGCGTGCTATTATAAGACAATAATGCATACTTTTTCGTGCCTGAACAACACATTGAAGTCAAACGGTGGCATTGAAGCCTAGTTGGAAAATTTTACATCCAGTCAAATTAAACCCATAGTACACACTTAATTTTGTATTTGTTATGTAATTGAAAATATGGGCATCTTCAACTTTCTATCTCTATTCTGAAAACTAAAATAATTGCATTAGAAATTGATTAAGAAAAATAAAAGCAAACCAATTGTTCTTTGTCTATTGACATACCCATACTTATCTTCTGAGTGAGGGTAAAGCATGCCCTAAATGTTCCCAATGTCCTTTGAATGATAAATAGTAAATGGTATTCATGTTAACACGTTTATTATTGTATTAGAACTGAATCTAGGTTTTCCACGTTTAAATAGATGTTATAAGTGGGTTTTGTCTGTATTAACTGAGAAAATTTTGGTGCATACAACCCAACTAAAATTTTCCCTCTGGTTTAATCTGAAAGGAATGCGATGTTAATTCTGGGGCGTTGATGTTTTACAATGCCTGATCAAGACAAAAAGGTGAAGACCACAGAAAAATCAACTGATAAAAAGCAGCAAGAAATCACCACCAGGTAACTCCCTACTGAGCGTTTGCTAATTATTAACTCAGGCAGTGGTTACTGAACAGATTTAATGGCTTTTTGAGAAACAGAGAAGACTCTTGACAACTACTATTCAGTTATAGTGTTTACTGAAACGTTTGGTCATTTCTAGCGTTCTAAAGAAAATGTTTAGTGTGTGTATACGTTCCAGTTGACAAAAGCAGGCCTCCAAGTGGCAATGCCATCAGTGGGTAACATGATCTTGTTCACCTGGAGCCTTCTGTGGGTTCACATTGTGTTATTCTTTCTCCTAGGGACTATTCAGATCTCAAAAGACTTCGGTGCCTTTTGAACGTCCAATCAAGCAAACAACAGGTAGTGTTTACAAAGAAGGTTCATGTGGTAATAAAAGAAAACTCATATGTTTCCAAAGGACTCCATTTAACATCTCTATGAACGATATGTCTGCTTTTCTTTGCTCATTCACATTTTTGCTCTTTCTTCATCTGGCTGTTTCTCTGACACCTGATACAGGCTCTGCCAAGACTTGGCATCCACATTCTTCTCTCAGGCCAGGCCCTGCTTTAGCCTATGCTTGTCACCCTGTGTCCTACTTAGCAAACCCTTTCCTCTTTGGTCTGTAAACAGACTGCATTCTCTTTTACTGAATGGCCAACATTTGGCTTTCCAAGCTTTAGGGAAACTGTTTTTTTCAAAGCACTTTCTACCACATTTTTCTCCTCCTCCTCCCTCACTCTTCCCAGTCTTGCCCCCTTGCTACAGTACCATTCTTGAGGCTTGCTGCACAATGTACCTCACCAAAAAGAGGGGCAAGGAGTGAATTTTGGCTATTTTTATAGTAGCATTGTAATGTTTTTATTAGAGAAAAAGTGGTACTTCTGCTTGAATTTGTCTCCAAACTTTTCATTTTTGTTTTGCACCTGTGAGACTTTGGAAAATCATGAGATTAGAGGCCATCCAGGGAGGCCTGGGGAACAACATAGCAATGCTAATAATAATGAAAATAGCAGACACGTATTTAGCACCTTAACTCATAAATGACAGGGATGGGACCTGAACCCTGGTGGTTTGGCTCTAAAGTCTACATTGTTCTTGCTTAAGTAAATTTGTTTAAGAGCTCATGTGTTTGGTAATCCAACCCTGATGATTTTTGTTATATCGACCACATTTACACGAGAATGACAGCATTTTTATCTGTTTATACTGGAAAATTATTTGATGGCATATAAAAGCCAAATCATGATAGTTTATATTTAGGGAACACTTTCTATGTGCCCACTGCTTTACCTGCATTACCCTGCTTAATAATTACAACTCCCATTTTTACAGATGAGGAAACAGGCACGAAGAAATCAAGTGACTTTCCCAAGATCATATAGCCTCCTAATTGGTGAAGTCTAGTTCTGAACCCAGATACCCCATCTTTGCTGTGTATGCTTCTAACTACTGAGATACCTGTTAAATGACTTGCAAAATTAAGTCCCTCCTTTCTTAAAAGAGGCAAGCAAGATGGCTAGGCATACAGTTTTGAGTGTAGTGCCCATTCTTTCCCACTGTATGTCCTGTGATGTAAACATAATATCAAAGACTTCTACTTTTTGCTTTTACTATTTCCTTCTCCTAAATTTCTTTCTTATAAAATCTCACCCATTTCCAAGACCCAACTCTAATGATACTACCTCCTTGTAGCTTCCATTCTAGAGGTGATCTCTGTCTTCCCAAGGCTCCTTCTTTTAATGCTGTAGCATTATTTTCTCCTGTGCTTTGGAAACTCTTGTTTACATGTCTTATTTCCTGACAGATCATGTATGTCCTAATGCCAGCAACTTTGACTTTTGCCTCTCATTCACTCTATATGATGAGTTCTTGGCCAGATTTTGCTAAATCGAATTGTGACTTGAGAATTGGGTCACCACATGAGTATGTATAACCTCCTGACCAGGGCAAACAAAAACATAAACAAAAAGCAATGTGTTTTTTCTGGCTCTAATTTTCCAACTTTGAAGTTTATGCTGACTAGATCTCTTGTATGCCCTTTCAACACTGCTTGCTTGATAACACCTGGCAGGCTTAAAGTTAATTTAGTGATTTTTTTCCCCCTTTAACCAATTTTCAAATTTGCAATCTGTTGTGGGACAACTTTACATGGTGTATATTTTTGTAAAATCTTTTACATGTACAAAAATGTATATTTGTAATACTTGAGTTATTCAGAAAGTAGATAGTGCTAAAAAAATAAAAATACTGTCAATTAAATGAAGGTCCTTAGGTTTACAAAATTAATGCCTAATTGTGTTTATAAAAGTTTCATTGATTTGTAATTTTGAAATAAGAAATGTTACCCCTGTTCTCCTTTTGGTAAAATACGTGGAGACATTTATAGGAGAGGGAAGACACTGGAGAAAATAACTCAAGTTACAGTTATTTATACTTTGCTTATTCCAGAAAGGGCCATTAGGAGCTTATAAAGAGACAGAAAGTAGGATAGGTTGTCATACATTAAAACCAGGGCGCAAAATAAGAGAAAAACAAGGGTTGGGAGCAAACTAGAGTTGGGGTCAAGCAGAAATGCTCAACAAAATATACACGTGGGCAACATATTTGGCTCTGAGATTTTCAGTACTCAATTTGAAAAGTGAAACCTGTGATTAAGGCCCACTCAGCTGCATTTCTGCCCTAACAAGTTGTGGCCTGTTTTTTGCAAATGAACCAGGCTGGCCAAATTCAAGTTACAGAGGAAATCTACCTTGTGGGTAGAGAGTGCAGAGAACTGAATGCCCGTCCTCTGAATCTCTAACGAGCCAGTCTGCTTCTACCATTGGTCCATTGTGTTCCAGTGTTCTACCTTTGTTCTTTGTCCTGACCTACACTCCGTGTATCTCTGCATATCTCTAGGACAGTCTCATAATGCGACAGAACTGGAGACAGAGACACACAGAGGCAGAAACGCCTCCTTCAAGATAAGCAGGGTTAGAATAATCATAATCCAGGAAAACCCAATAACTCAAGAAAAAGAACTGCCCCAGGATTGCTGAGGCAAAGTGAAACTACAACGCTGATTGGAGATGTCACTAGAGGTTTTCACAAATCTTGAAGCAACCTGCTAAGATCTGGAATTCAGATTCTTTTCTTCCTCCACATTTAGAGCCATAGGAAGCTACGGAATTTATTTGCAATTTAAAAAAAAAGATGGAATAAGGAAAAAAATTAATGTGTTGTGGGCTTATTAATTATCTTGAAATGAAGGTGGTTTTGATAGATGCTGTAGAAAGAAAACATATACGGCATGGTGGTGGTGGTGATGTTTTGAGAGAGCGGGAGTAGGGACAGATAATTATGGCATGAGGCAAGACACCATCCTGGTTGAATGGTGCATGCAGCGAGGATATAGCTTTTGAGGAATAGGAAGCCAATTTTAGCTTGAATGACAGGGAAGGAGGTGGTTCTTAAAAAAATAGGCTGGTTTTTCCATTGGTGGAATTGATGAAAAGGGCATTCTAGGTTAAGTGAGTAAAATAATCAAATATCCGAAGGAAGGAAAATGACAAGCATTTAAGTAAAAGAGTGACTACACATTTCTATTGGATAAATAAAGCTGGAAGACACCGTGCAGTGTCTGAAAGCCCATCTATGAGTTTTGGACTTGATTCCATAAGCAACAGAGAACGTTGAAGTTTGCAAGCAGAAGTGACATGACATTCTTGACATTCTGGTTCATGGACTGCAAGCCCCTCCCATGACCCATGGGACTGTAAGCTCCTTGAAGACAGAGGCCATGACTGTTCTGCTTACTGTATATATACAGTGTCTCACACAATGTCTGGTATATGATGTGTCTGCAACACATACACTGAATTAATGGATGAACTTATCTGGAGGTGGTTTAGCAGAGGAATTAGTTTGGTGAAGAGACTGGGAACAAAGTGAGCATTCGTTCCACAGCTTCACATTTGAATACCTACAATATGCCCAGCTCTGTGAGAAGTGCTAAGAACACAAAGATTAATAGATGTGATGCTGCCCTCAGGGTGGCCAAATTCAAGGGGAAAGGATGTTGTGTAAGCTATACATTCTACGAGCCTGAGATGTTTTGAAAGAGAGGTAAGCGTGGTATTGCCACCAGGCAAGGAGTGAACAGCTCTATCCAGGAAGGCTTGGGCAAGTGCTTGCCAGGAGGGTAAGTCACGCCCTGACCCAAGCTCAGGAGTAACAGGCTGCAGATGCCCAGGTGTGGAAAGACCAGACACACAGAAGATAGACGAATTGAGGACCCAAGAGAAAAGGCTCTGGGTTTTGAACTGGATTCTGAATGTACATTTCTTTCGTATGAAGTGCTACTTGCTTCAAGGTGCCTACTATTAAGTTCCTGGTCTTTGCAACTATTGATGCCAAATCCATCTCTCCACCCATTCTCCATGAGTTGATTTCTGATACAGGCCGCCCGCTCTGCTGCAAAGGGAATGGCGGCAAGCTGCAGCAGCTTTCCACTCCTCCCTTGGAGTCACCTGGGCCTGCTTTCTCTGTGCTGGCTAATTTGTCTCTTGCAAACTTTTCTAGGAGTTGTGCTAATGGTAAGGGGGTTTAGAATCTCTTGGGCCTGGAAAACCTCCTCCTTTTTTTGCCGTGTATCATGATATTTTGGGTATAACATGGGAAAATTTGCTCATGCTGTTACTTCATGTTAGATATCATTTGGATTAATAGTTCATATTCAGAAATCACCTAATTTGTAATGACAAATTTTATTCATTTAGCAAAATTCATCTGTATAATAGGAATAATTATGAGGATTGAAAGAGTATGTACAAAGCAATTAGAAATATGCTTGACACATAGCAAGTGTTTTATAAATTACTGTTTATAATTACTCATGCAATTTTCATAACTCTTGTGTTATATACTATTATTATTTCCATTTTAATGATACAGAAACTGATGCACAGAGAGATTGAGTAAATTTTCTAAGATTATGCAGCTAGTTAATGGGAGATTTAAACTCATAGAATCTGGCCAGGGAATTTGTTCTCTTAACCACTAAGCATTGCTGGCTTAGCCTATTGTCTTTTGGTGGTTGTAGATTGGCTGACTGAATTGAGATAGAAAAGTAGTTTTATAGGATGGAAGATTTATTATTAACACTTTGAAAATTTGACTGTGGCTGGCATATGGTAAAAAAGGATTTTAGTTTTGTTAACTATTAAACAATGTCTTTATTATAATCCATTTTTCTGTAAGCTGACCTTATAAAAAGTCAGGCATATTCACTTTGAATAAAGAAGTGATTTTTTTTGTTGTTTTTATTTTTTGAGACAGAGTTTCACTTTTGTTGCCCAGGCTGGAGTGCAATGGCGCGATCTTGGCTCATTGCAACCTCTGCCTCCTGGGTTCAAGTGATTCTCCTGCCTCAGTCTCTCGAGTAGCTGGGATTACAGGCATGTGCCACCATACCTCGCTAATTTAGTATTTTTAGTAGAGGCAGGGTTTCTCCATGTTGGTCAGGCTGGTCTTGAACTCTTGACCTTGGTGATCCACCTGCCTCGGCCTCCCAAAGTGCTGGGATTACAGGTGTGAGCCACTACGTCTGGCCGGAAATGATGTCTTCATGCTGATTTACATTAAATACTTCAATGAAATAAGACAACAAGTGTAACATATTATAACTTTGGTAATATATGGAATATATATGGAATTATTTACTGAAAAATGATTTTTTTGTTATGTTATACTCTGCTTGCCTCATCTGTAATAATTTAGCTAATTATAGAACATCCTTCATTTGTACTTTGGAAAAAACAGGATATTTGTCTATACCATGCTCAACTTAATTGTGGTATCAGAAAAAAATCTCAGGGTTATCCCAATTATAGACAAATATTGGTAAGTGAAAATATTTGAATACTGACAACCTGACAATTTATTATTGCAAGTGGAAGCATAGTCAAGGTGTTGTAGTTAAATTTTTACTTATGGTAAATTTGGTAATATATTTTAATGTATTTTATAAATATGATTGAGTAATCAGGATGTTCAGATTGATTAAAAGTGATAGAATCTTCTTTATTGTTATATCCTTAACACCAGGAAAATAGTGTGTACACCTGGTAAATATTGAAGAATGAATGAATGTATGATGACTCATTCTCAATTTGGGCACCCTGCTCTATATCAGAGTGTTCTACCTGGATCCAGGAGCTGTCTAGTCAGCTTGCACGTTTGAATCACATGAGAAACTTCAAAACCTCCTGATGCCCAGGTGTCACCCCAGACCCATATCTGTTTTAGGTGCTGGGGTAATAGCACTGAACAAAAACAGGCAAGTTCCTGCTTGTGTTGAGGTGACATTACAATCAAGGAAGACTAAAAGTACATAAATAACTGTCAGATATGATAAGTGGTGTTACAAGCTTTGAAGAAAAATAAAACAGTGTAAGGTAGATGTTCAAGTCAAAGATACTTGATTTGAATCTTGGAAAACCCTTACATTTGAAAGGGTTGTTATCTTAATTATTGGCCTGAAAAAAACTCATTCTCCTCATCCTCCCCATATTTTGTTACTTTCTTTATCCCGTGTTGAATTGTGATCCTCATGTACTCTATGCTTCTATTTCTGTAGCTTCCAGCCATTAACTTCAATAGTGCCCAAAATAGCATGACGAAGTCTGAGCCCGCCATCAGGGCGGGTGGACACAGAGCTCGGGGTCAGTGGCATGAGTCCACAGAAGCTGTTGAACTTGAAAATTTTAGGTAAGAAATCCAGCATCTCCTTCGTCTTCAACAACTTATTCTACTTAGCTCACAGTTTTATTTAAGTTTATCCCAGGAGCTAAAATTAAAAACCCACTTCAGTAGTTACCATAGAGATTCTTAATTTAATATTTTTAGTTAGTGCTTAAACCATTCCCAGAAATAATATGCAAATAACAGGTTTAATGGGTACAGGTGGAACTGACCTGGGAGATTTAGGACACTATGCTGACATGCGTTTGGCATTGCTCAACAAGGAAGTGGTTCCAGATTATTGACCTGGTTAGGCTTATCCCAATCTTTGTCTGTCTAGATCTTGCCAGTAATGAGACGGCATAAAAGGAGCCGTTGCTGTGAACAGATGTGGTGGTTAAAGTATGTGGTTGTCAAAACAACTGAGGTTTTCAGTTGAAGGGGTTGCGGCACACCTCCAACATTGAAAGTGTCAGGTAATGTTCATCTCTGTTGCCACGCAGACCCCTGCAAAGCTCCACATTCTTGTGGGCCACTCCCCTCTCGGGAGCTGGTTCTCTCAGTTTTACAGTGTGCTTGGGCCATTTGGCACTAAGTACCATGTAAATAGTGAGTGGCATGAAATAGCAATATGAATATTCTAGAAGGATCATTTGTTTATTTGGCCTAGATTTTGTTTTTGTTTCCCTGTCATCTTATGACAATGAATTTAATAGTATGGGAAAGTTACATGACATTTCATGGGTTCATATTTTAGAAACATATTTTTAGTGAGGAGCACTTAACTACTTAAAAAATTGTCGTATGGTGAGTACCAGTGCCTGTGTACTAAGAAACCATTATAGCCTTCAGGTGACTAGGATGGGGACATGCTGTCCAATGGCATCTGAAAGACTCAGAAGGCAGAACATTACACATGGCAACATAAGGTTATACTCATTTCCTTTGAGGTTGTATGTTCATGGAATTCCAGCTTATTTGTCCTAGATCTTAAAATTAGTTTTATTTAATTACGTGCAAAAATATCATATTGTGTATTTGGTAGCAATGTGACCATTTTGTTTATTATCCCTTATCCTTTTCCAGTTTTAAAATAGAATGTTTTAGAGGTATTTTTAACCTCTTTGGTGAGCTATAAGATCAGCAAAAAGAAGCTGAAGCTGGAATATCTCAGAATTTTGTTAAACACACACACACAAACCATATAAACAATCAACAGTGACAGTCAACATGGCTGAAGGTGTATAAACTGTGTTTAATAAACTCTTCTTATCTAGAAGGATTTATAAATGATGACCACTGGTGTTGATAGTGAGATCAGCCAGTGGGATCGAGGGTATGTGGAAAAGTGGAGAGGGAATTCTTCTCTTCCTGTTACACAGCTGTCTAAATAATGTGCCCCAATCATTCTTTCTCTCCATTTACCCTTTTCTTCCTCCAACCAATTTTAGCTGTTAGTGTTTATAGGGAATAATTTAATGGATATGGTAAAAGGAAATACATACGCTTGACTATATTTTATTTTTAACCTTATAATTGAATTTCTAGTTCCTGTTTTAACAGTTGATATTTGCTTTTAGCAACATGTTAAATGCAAGTCTCCTTCAATATTTGCCTGAATCCTCATTAGTATACTGGTTAGTAATAAAAAAAAATTACCTGAATATAGATGATCTTTGTCTGCATTGGCAACTTTGAGACAGCCTGATCTCTATAACAAAATCCTTTTCTGTTTGTTTCGTCTCAGTATAAACTACAAGAATGAGAGAAATTTCAGCAAACATCCTCAGCATAAACTATTTCAGGAGATCTTTACCGCCTTGGTGAAAAATAGACTCATATGCAGGTAAGATTGTTCCTGGAAAACAGGCTTTTACTCAAGAGTGGCATATGTCATCTATCTTGTCTCTAGAACACGATTTGAAACATCTTCCAGGATTGAACATGTCATTAAAGGAGAGAAGGAAGCAAATGAGTAGGCATTACAGATGATCTTATTAAAATCACTGATGAGGTACTGAATTTAGCTGAATTTGATGACAGATAAGGAAAAATGGGAAAACACTCAAGTTATGTTTCCTTTATTTTCTTTGAGTTTGGATACTGAAGGAGGAGTTTATTGTGTGGGATCTTATGAAAGAGACACTGGACAGCACCACGGACAACATTCTCATGGTGCACTTTTGCAGTGATTTAATGACTGATTAAATGGACTGCGCAAGCCTTGACCTTGAGGAAAGAAAGGATGAGTCTGTAACAACCAGCCACAGCCTCATAAAGATGTTTCTTCTTTCTTTCTTTGCCTTGTTAACACGGGTGCAGTGTTGGGACTGTAGAGAAAGGATTAGTTAACAAGGCCTCTTGATTCTCTCTCACAAATATCAGCGGTTTTCAGGGAGCCATTGATTGTTGCTGGATTGCAGTCAGGTCTGAATTTTCTGTCCATTCTGAGCTGCTTCATAGAAAAACTGGGTATGCTGCTGCCAGATGGGAAGGAGGCTCCTAACAGTCTGTCACGATAGGGTCCTGTCTTTTGCTCTTTTCAGGAGGCCCATACTCTTCCCACATGCATCAGCTGAAAAATGCTATAAAGAATCTAAAGTCTTCCTTGTCACTTTGTGACTTGATTGAGATATGTGAATTCCATCCCAGTGAAAATGGAAAAACATTATTTCTATTGTGAAAAATAAAAATAGGAGTATTAATAATTTAATACCTTGATCAAAATAAAACTGACTTGGCCCAGTGCAATAGCTTATTTTAAGTAGAACAGCATTCTGATGGGTCCTCCATGATGAGTCAGCTACTCGATACATGCTTAATTGATGGCCTCATGTCTCCATCTTTTGGATGGGGTCATTTAGCATTATGTATTTAAGTATTGGACTTAAATGACTGTCCGATACATTAGTTTTCTTTAAAACAATACAGAATTGAGACTGCATCTGTCACGTCTTTGTACTTAATTTAAGCAGAGGATTATTAGACTGGCTCGGATGATACAAGAAGCCTAAAATCTTTACCAAGGTTATGTAATTGGGTCAGTGTTCAGTTCTCGATTACACACTTAAAGATTGTTCAAAGATTAATGAACACTGCAAATAACCTGAAGTTATGTGTATATATATATATTTCAACTGTTTTTTGCTTAGATTGAACAGAGTGAAACAATGGTAGTAGCAGAATCATTATGCATAAAACAGTATTAGGAAATAAAGTTTGTTTGTTGTTTTTTTTTTTTTAAAGCCAGCTCACATGGACTCTTCAAGGGATGCCCAGTAGACTATTTATTGGATCAATACTTTGGGGGAAGGCACTAGATGCAGAAATTGTTAGGGAAAATAACTGGGCACTGGTTGGCATCAACTAATTGAAAAAGATCTCAACAATTCTAAAGTTGAGAGATCTCTTTTCAGAGTGTTTTAAAATTCCTAGTAATTGAAGGGGCATCTTAGGCTGGATGCAGTCCCTGGAAGTCTTCAAACTAGGAAGAGATAATTGTAGATCTCTTTGCTTTCATAGTACGAGATGGAATTTAGGAATGTCGAACACCAAGGGCGTCCTTTGATGTCATCCTGTGGCTGCTGACAGCTTGCTCTGTTCAGTTCTATTCTGAAAGCATTGGGTAAAAGATGGCTTAAATATAAAGGTTTTCCATTGTGCCTCACCCCATATAACCTTGCTAAAATAGCCGGGATCATCCGTCCTTTTTTTTCTTCCCCTCTAACTTTAGACTTATAGAAGAATTACACCTCAGGACCTTTTCTGATATGGCTTGTTATCCCTTTGTTTGCAAACATCAGATTTAGTGTTGGGTTGAAGGTTTAGATTCAATTTGATAAACAAACTGGTAAGCATATACTGTATGTAAGGAAGGGATTAAGTAAGTGGTAAAGAAGGGTGAAATTTAAAAAATTAACAGGACATATGGTCCTTTTCTCCCTAGGAACTCAAATTCTACTCTGATCAGCAAGACAATTACCCAATAAAGGAAAATGTACTAAATATATACAATTTGTATTAACACAACTAACTAAAGGCTGCATGAGATTGGGGGTGGGTGGGAATTTGGGTCCTTGGTCCAATTATGGTTGTAGATAAGACTATAGATAAGACATTCAGCATGTTATGCTACTCAATTTTGCCCTGAAAAATATGACTTACTGGGAATTTAGTCTCATTTGTGAAGTGTGACCCCTTTCAACTCACTTCTCAATGCCTACCCAATTGGTGGTAATGTTGCTCTTGTATTTTACTCACCCCAACTCTAGCCTTTCCCTAAATCACACTTGTGGACACCTCCTTTCTGTGTTCTTTTCTATGATTTGTGATTACTCCCCCATTCTCAGAATGAAACTGCCAGATGGCATCTGAAACTGGAAAAGACTTGTTAATCCAGAGTCAGATAAGGTAACACTGCAAATACCTCACAGTAAATTTCAAAGGACAAGGGAAAGTGTCATCCCTGAGCATGGGGTTACTCCTAGTTACACAATGGTAACTAATCTTTTTAAAAAAAACCTTGTATAATAGTATTTATTTATAATATACTGCTATATAATATTTTACATATTTGTGGGGTACATGTGGTATTTTGTTACATACATAGAATGTGTGATGATCAAGTCAGGGTATTTGAGGTGCCCATCACGTTGAGGATTTGTCATTTATATGTGTTGAGAACTCTCTTCTAGCTACTTTGAAATAGACAATACGTTGTTGTTAATTATAGTCACACTACTCTGCTGTCAAATGATGGAACTCATACCTTTCATTTAACAATACATTTGTACCCGTTAACCTACCTCTTTATCCCCCCTTGCACTCACCCACCCTTCCTGGACTCTGGTATCTATTATTCTACTCTCTATCTTTATGAGACTGACTTTTTTTTTAAGCTCCCGTATATGAGTGAGATCACACAATATTTGTCTTTCTATACCTGGGTTATTTCACTTAACATAATGCCTTCCAGTTCCATCCATGTTGCTATAAATGATGTGATTTTTTCTCTTTTTTATGGCCAAATAATGTTTCATTTTGTGTGTGTACTACATTTAAAAAATTCATTTGTTTGTTGGTGGACACTAAGGTTGATTCCATATCTTTGCTTTTGTGAACAGTGCTGCAATAAACACATGAGTGCACGTATCCCTTTGTTATACTGATTTTTTTTTCTTTGGATAGATACCCAGTAGCAGAACTGCTGGATCATATGGTTCTATTTTTATTTTTTTGAGAAATCATCATAAAGTTCTCCACAGCAGTTGCACTAATTTGCATTCCCACAAACAGTGTATGAGTTCGCTCTTCTCCACATCCTCATCTGTTAGTTTTTTGTCTTTTAATCATAGCTATTCTAAGTGGGGTAAGATGATATCTCATTGTAATTTTGATATGCATTTCTCTGATGATTAGTGATGTTGAACTTTTCTTCATGTACTTGTTGGCTATTTGTATGTCTTCTTTTGAGAGTTGTCAATTCATGTCCTTTGCCCACTTATTTTATTTTATTTTACTTTAAGTTCTAGTATACATGTTCAGAAAGTGCAGGTTTGTTACATAGGTATACATGTGCCATAGTGGTTTGCTGCACTTATCCACCTATCATCTAGGTTTTAAGCCCCACATGCATTAGGTGTTTGTCCCAATGCTCTCCCTCCTTTTGCCACCCACCCCCCAATAGGCCCCAGTGGGTGATGTTCCCCTCCCTGTGTCCATGTGTTCTCATTGTTCAACTTCCACGTATGAGTGAGAACATGCGGTGTTTGTTTTTCTGTTCCTGTGTTAGTTTGCTGAGAACGATGGCTTCCAGCTTCATCTATGTCTCTGCAAAGAACATGAACTCATTCTTTTTTATGGCTGCATAGTATTCCATGGTGTATATGTGCCACATCATCTTTATGCAGTCTATCATTGATAAGCATTTGGGTTGGTTCCAAGGCTTTGCTATTGAATATAGTGCTGCAATAAACATATGTGTGCATGTGTATTTATAGTAGCATGATATATAATCCTTTGGGTATATAGCCAGTAATGGGATTGCTGGTTCAAATGGTATATCTGGTTCTAGATCCTTGATGAATTACCATGCTGTCTTCCACAATGGTTGAACTAATTTACACTCCCACCAACAGTGTAATAGTGTTCCTGTTTCTCCACAACCTCGTCAGCATCTGTTGTTTCCTGACTTTTTAATAATTACCATTCTAACTGGCATGAGATGGTATCTCATTGTGGGTTTTTTTTTTTTTTTTGAGATGGAGTCTTGCTCTGTGGCCCAGGCTGGAGTGCAGTGGCCTGATCTCGGCTCACTGCAACCTCTGCCTTCTGGGTTCAAGAGACTATCCTGCCTTAGCCTCCCACGTAGCTGGGACAACAGGTGTACACCATCACACCCAGCTAGTTTTTGTATTTTTAGTAGAGTCAGGATTTCATCATATTGGCCAGGCTGGTCTTGAACTCCTGACCTCGTGATCCTCCCACCTCAGCCTCCCAAAGTGCTGGGATTACAGGCATGAGCCACCATGCCCAACCCTCATTGTGGTTTTGATTTGCATTTCTCTAATGACCAGTGATGATGAGCTCCTTTTCATATGTTTGTTGGCTGTATAAATGTCTTCTTTTGAGAAGTGTCTGCTCATATCCTTCACCCACTTTTTGATAGGGTTGTTTTTTTCTTGTAAATTTGTTTAAATTTCTAGTAGATTGTGGATATTAGACCTTTGTCAGATGGGTAGATTGCAAAAATTTTCTCCCATTTATAGGCATGGGCAAGGACTTCCTGACTAAAACACCAAAAGTAATAGCAACAAAAGTCAAAATTGACAAATGGGATCTAATTAA